CATCGATACACGACAATTTCATTTGTCATAGAGCTCAATTGTAGATTTGAATTTGCAGAGTGTACAACTCTTTCGGAATATACAGCACATTTTTGCATTGACTGTAAAAAAGTGAGCAACATAGGCTGCAAAACACAGCCGAACAACAAAATTTGTTTCGCAAAACAAGTTGTAAATAGGTTGAAGCTCTAAGTATTAAACCCACGGGACACGATAGTTTTACTGTGTTTGAAAATCGATTGGAGTTACATGCATATTTTTACATCGCAACATGGATTACCGCAGTCACATCTGAAAAAAAACTGGCAAACTGTTTTGTTTGAGTTGACAAATGAGCGGACCAGAAAAACCGGCTAACTATATGGGGGAAGCGTTTATTTAAATTTCGATCAAAGCTCGATTACGCGCCCGCCCACGGGTGAAAGGGAGGAGGGGGCTATATACGTTTGGCCTATTCAACATTTTCGTTCGCTTACGCGAACAATCCCAGGCGTGATGGTTCGCGGACAATAACGCTTGTGGCAGCGCAGCAGCAATGCGGCCCATTATCTCGCGCAAGTGCCACCTGTGCACGTAGAGAGAGCGAGCGAGAGAGAGAGAGAGAGAGAGAGGGCGACCCGAGAGCCGGTTATAATAAAGATTCACCGATTCACCACGTTAGGTTTTTGAAGGAGAGAAAAAAACACCACACTAGACGCGAGACGCACAATGACCACTGGACCACCGGCGCGTTTCGAATTGAACCAGCTCACGCGCGCGCTCGCGTCTTAAAACCCGTGATTCATGCGACCGATTCGTGCGCACTCGCACTGCGGATCGAAAGGATCTGCCACTCTTTCTTTCATCCTAACGTGTTTCTCTCTCTCTCTCTCTCTCTCTCTCCTTTTCGGTGGTCCATTTGGCGAATAAAAAGAAGGCCTACTAGCTTGGGAGTCCTGGAAAAATCCGACGGGTTTGGTACGTTTTGGCGCTCCTGTTATAAAAAAACAAGGTCATTGTAGGGCAGTCGGTTCTTTCATGCGAAACATTAATTATCGTCATTGTTGGTGCTCGCGCCGCGCAGATTTTTTATTCTGATTAATGGGATCCTGAATTCTTAAGGAGATAGAGTGATCCGAGTATCTGCGTGTTTTCCATCGGTAGCTTGTTATTGAAACAAACGGAGGTGCGAATAAGCTTGCGCGTCTCCTTAACCAGTGAGTTGCGCACAACGTGCGAGCCTCATATTTAGTTCGCACTCGTTCGTCCGCACGCGGCCCCGATAAATCTGCGCTTCTCCCTATTTCGTACGCGAGCTGAATTAAGATGAAATCGCGAGAGTAGCGCCGATGAAAAAAGCATCAAGTGAGGTGTTGCATCCTGCACGCTGGGTGTCGATAAAATCGATGAAAAATAAATAATTCAGCGTGCGGCTTTTTGTCTTCTCTTTCTGCTGCGCGCGCTTGCAGTGCGTGAGTCGACGAATTTGAGCATTTGCACGCATGCACTTGTTCCCACCGAATTTATTCGATGATTCTGTGCGGAATTTCAATTTAATTTTATTACGATGCCATTTCGCACAAAATTGGCTGTACTGCAAACAACATTTTATTTCCTTTTCACGGTTCGTTAAATTTTTCAAATGTTCAGATATTTTTTCTGCAATGTTGATTTTACAAAAATTTGTACTTACAAATTATATTGAATTTTAGGGAAAAATACACAACAAGAGGCTCATCTCAGCATTTTTCCAATTTATCTTTTTAAAATTGTTTTAAAATCAAGCTTGAAATGGGATTTTAATACACAAAATTGCCAGTCACCATCAAATAAAGTAAAATTAAAAATATTCTGAAATTATAATTTAATATGAAAAAGCATAAGTAATGTAAAAGAGTAAAATGACAATGAAAAATGGATTATTCGTGTAATTATATAAGGCTTCCATTGTACGAAAATATAAAAAGATTCTCCGAAGACAGCTTGCCGAAAAATCTGCCGCGCGCGCGCTGTTTCGCCATAAAGCGGAGAGCGAGCGAGGCGATAGTCCGAAAGCGCGTGAATCCGCTCGTTAAACGTTACTCGAACCGCACATACCAGGAAGCGAAGAAGTCCCGCAAGGGATATACACAAAGGCGTCATAATTAGGCCGTCGGCACTGTCCACCGACAAAGGAAAACTACCACCCTCGCGTCTCTTTTTTTCGAAAACGATATAAAAAAAATGCGTGGGTTAAGGCTGCTCGCGCTGCCCAAAATCCCCGGTGTGAAACGTTTTTGCGTCGCGCGCGAGTGCGAAATAATCCCGCTCGCTCTCTCTCTCTCTCTCTCTCTGTTATTGAGAGCAATACGCGCGTTGACGGTCAAGCGGCTGATTACAGAGCGGCGAGGTGGCAAAGGGGACCACCTATAGTGGTTTTGTGCGCGCTCTCGCACTTTTGACACGGAGGAAAAAGTGCGAGCGTCGGCCAGATGTCGAGCTACCTTCCTCTCACTCTGTTCGCTCGCTTCTTCTTTCTTCCCTTTTTATTTTTAGCGAGAAGGACATGGGGCAATATTGAAATCCACGGGTGTCATAATCTCACCGTTTAGCTTTACACCAGCTGGCTAATTCGCCACCTCGAGATGAGATGCGACTCAATCCCTCCTCCCTTTTCTTCGAGGTGCTGCTGCTGCTGCTTCTTTATTCTTTTTCCGCTGAAAGATGCACTCGCGCTGAGCTGTTGTATGCTTGCTGCATACTTTTGCTGACCAAAAGTCCTCTGTGTGTGCGCGTGTGTTGTTGCATGCATTTTCGCACATGAATACACTCTTGAGCTGTTAAAAGAAGTTCGATGTGAATAGACATTCTTACAATGAAGATGTCACCAAAGGCATGTATTCTTCTTTAAAAAAATTATTCTCAAACGATTTTCAACAACTAAAATTCCTAATTAAACGTGTTTTCCAAAATAAAATTAATATTAAATTTTCGGATGATAAAATGTCTGAATTATCTTTTATAATTACTTCCATATTCGTATTATTTATCAAATATAAAATATTGGTGAAAGAAAAACATTTTATAAATGAGAATTGGATTGAAGAAAACGATAGAAAGTGGATTCAGCAGTCAGCAAGGTAATTTTTCCTCATTAAACGGTGAAGGTACGGTATCGAAAAAAATTCAATAAAGCGAACATAAAATGAAAATGCATCTTCTGCTGGCGAAATAAAGGTCTTCGTTAAATGTCTGCGCAAACACAATCCTATTCATTTCCGGGTTCACAGCACCCGGCGCGTTTATTGCCATTGAGGAAAATTAAATAAAAAAGGCGTATATGCAGCCGAGTGAAAAAGATCTGCAGCAGAAAAGGAGGGCGCGAAGAGAGAAGGCGTCTTCTCCTCCTCTTCGGTTCTTCACTGCAAAAGGAACCATTCAAAGGAAGCGCGCCCGAGTGCTCGGGCTGTCGAGTGCAAATACAGTATTGAGCGTGTTTCTTGGAAAAATTGAGAAGACACCATTGTAACGATCATTCAGCCAGGTAATTTAACTTGGCTCCTTGAATTCAGACAGGAAACAGCTTCGACTCAACAAGATTATCGTCATCGCTCAACTTTATATACATCCAATGAATGCTGAAAAGAGTTGCAGATGTTGTCAACGGATGCCTTCACACCTGTCGAGTGGACTTTCACGTATCTTTTGTACGCTTACATGTATACAAATAATTGTTGATTTCTAAATTGTCGCTCAGTTTCGCATCTTCAAAAGAAGTATGGATAAATTTACTGAAATCAAACGGAGACGAAACGGACTGTTATGATGATCAGTCTTTGAAATTAGAAATAAACAAATGGTCGCACTCGTAAGACTGGGAAACTTGAATAGTGTAGTCTTATCAACGAGCCAAATCCACTTTTATAAAATCAGTCAATTTAGTTGCAAGAATTGTTGCATTCAAAGTGCAAATGAAAATGGTTCTTTGATAATAAGTTTCATATAGCTCCAAGTCTCGCAATTATAATTACGGGAGTTGTCTGCACTATTTTCGCTGCAAAACACACAGACGAGCCACCTAGCTCCCGAAACTTCGTCTCCAAATTAGACCACAAAATTCACTGCGAGTAGTAGGTAGAATTCTATTCTAACAGTCGACAACAGAAGCTTGATTTTCGCTAAAAACCGCGGGAGTAGAGAAAGGTGCTTAGCGACGCGTCCATTTGTCGCTCGATTAACGAGCGGGGGATCGACTCTCGTTCTCTCTTATGCGCACATATAATCATGCCACGGTTCTATGGCTATCTATGCTTCTATATTTCTTACACGCGGTGCGAGACCACAGAGCCCCTAATGCGTCCTTGGAAACCTTTCCGTAACGACTCGACCCGCGGCTTTAGCTGGAAAAAAAATGAGAATAAACGGCTTGAAATTCAAAATTATAGAATAAATTGAAATCCTGTATGGTTGAGTAATAATTATAACTTTTAAAAAGTGACGTGAGCTCAAAACATTTATAAGCCACAGCTATATAAAAATTTTAATTTCGAAAGTAAGCAACTTTCTTTTACAAATTACTGACGCGTTGTTAGCTTAAAATTATTTGTAAAAATAAGCTCAGATTGGCACTCAGATATTTTCTCTGAACACTAATCGCATTCGATCATGACTGTACAAAGTTTCAACGCGATTGGTTATGCGTTTTCGCCTCATTCCTCAAATGATAATTGCTTCGTAATTAATGACACTCGCGGACCCGACTGACAGCCCCAGCTGAAAGCGATCAATCGCCTTTACAGTATGCTTTATTTTTGCCTTTAATTGCCGTTCGTGCGCTGTAGTGATAGTTGCGCATGCGAACTCTTCAATATGTACTAGCGGCGCATAGGTATATAGAATGAGAAATCATAACGTTACCCGTGAGCCGTCTTGCTGGATAATTAGCTGCTAGATGTCTCGATATCTTCCTGCTTGCAACGATGTCAAATAAAGGAACAGAAATTCATATAAATAAAATTCAGTTATGTGTAAGAGAGGAAACAATTAACGTTTTTATTGAAAAAACACAATATTATATCTACAAAAATATCGAAAGGTATGTGAAAGAACTCAGTCGCGTGTTATTATTTTTTGTAGCTGCGAGAACTCACTCGACAAAAGATCGATCAGTCAGTTAAGTGTATGGAAAAAATTTTATTTATCATGAAAAAAGTTGTCCAGATAAATACACACACGCGTACGAGTTTATGATGCGCGTGCGCGCCTATCGACGGACAGAAAAATTGGATGGATAAGTTGAATGGATAGGAGATGGTCGGATGGTGTCGATGTTCGTGGAGAAATAGTAGGATAAGAGATTAAACGGGCGTTTAACTATCAGCGTTAGTACAATAAGTGAGTGTGTTGTTTTTGCTCGTACAGTATTTGCGCGTGAAATCAGTTGGTTAATGTAATTCCATAATATCACAATGAAAAAACCGTTTGATCATCCGCTCACTGGCCTAATCTACGACGTGCGAGTCGTCGCCGTGGATTCCTCAGGTCACGCGGCGTCCAAATGCTCGTCTGCTGCTGAACGTTAGCCGAACGCTTGACATTTACCTTGTAAGCGTCTTCCAACGCGTGTACGTAGGCGTTCTTCAAGGATCTTTGATTATCCTCCTCAGAAGCTTGCAGAAAACGTTTTTCGCGAGGCGTCGAGATATCGCCTCCCAAGAGATTGTTGATCGACAATAGCTTACGTCGTACGTCGGTGATTGGAGACAAAGTTGACACATCGCGGATCCGTTTGCTGCGACCCTTCGTCTCAATATTTTCGCTGTCCAACGCTGGTATCTCATTTTCGGAGATCGCAAGTTTGTTCAAGTTGATGGTTGACGATGGAACGACGGTTGTGCTGCTGATCAAAATGATTTTTGATGCTCTTGGCGGTGACGACGACGAAGAGCTGACTGGGAGATTGGTGACGACAGTCTCGTTATCGAGCTTGGTCGAGTTCAATTTGGCCTCGATGATATGTTTGAAGAAGGCGTAGATCTCGGCAACGGTGAACATAGTGCCGTTGCGTGCAGATATGCTGTCGATCCTCATTTTTCGGATGAGCTCTTCGGTGGCATTTTGCGCCTCCAAGACTGACAACTTCTGTGCTACATAGTCATTGATGAACTCGTAGAAGCCCTTATAGTAATTCGGTGATTTGTGTTTTCTCTCCTTCTTCTCCTTGTCCTTATCTTTGTTCTTTTCTTTCCTCGCATCCTTGTCACCGTGCGCTTGACCTTTCTTCTTCTTTCTTAGATCCTTGCGCAGATGCTTCTCGCTCCATCTCATCGATTTGTTGTAGAACTTCATGATACGTTCGAACTCGCGCTTGAGTTTTGTAAACTCACGCTGGCTCTTGGCCTCGACGCTCTCGTGGGCTCTGGCCGAGGCATTGCGGCGCTGCTGGTGCTCCGCCAAGTCTACGTGGAAGAAGTTCTTGCTCATGGTATTCAACAGCTCATGCATTGTCACGTTTGTGTCGTTATTCGCGTGCCGCGAATCGATTCTTTGTAGTTTCCGATAGACAACTCGCAGAAAGTCGATCATTCTCTCATCTTTACCTCGCGGTTTACTACCATGACCACCGTGACCACCACTTCTTGTTGCATTACGAACTACATTTGCACTACTCGTACCATTGCTATTTAATTTGGTATTGGCCTTGCTAACGTTAAACCTCTCTAGTTGAATCATAGTATCGTGGCTTTTTTCCATCTCCAACTCCAACAACTTTTTGCCAATCTTCCGAAAGAAGTCGATGAACTTCTTGTAAGCCATAACAACCGTCTCGTTCTTCTGATCACCAATGGACCTACGACGTCTGTTCCATCGGATTCGTGGGTGTTGTCCTAGGGTACACTTTGGCAATTCCTTTGGACTCCACGAACCACCGATGCACGTCGCACCGGGCGGTCCTTCACTCAGGTAGTAACCTTTGTCGCAATCGTACATAATCTGTTTATTGTTGACGATCTTCCTTACATACGGACGGTAATCGTAAACTCCCATATTCCCAACCAGCAGCACTTTTCCATTCTGCACGTAACCGGGGAACGGGCAATAAACCTCGATGCAATGGGGTATATCCCCAGTCCAATTTCCGTATTGACACTCGACGGAAAATGAGTTATTGTATGGCCCGCCGCCAATCATCTCGAAACCATCTTTGCACTTGAACACTGCCTTCATGCCGTGATCCGTTTTTGGCGCGATGACCATTCCGTTTTTCGGTGGCTTCGGCATCTGTTTACATCGAGCAGGCGAGCAGGAGGGCACGATCGACCAAGTGCCATTGTTGCACTCGACTGGATGATGTGCCAGTGCAAATTCGTAATCCTGCTCGCACTCCACGACCAGTCGCTTGCCATGTTCCGCAACTGTCACGTTGTTGATATGATCATGCTCGTCCGAGGCGACGTATACGTGACCTCGCGTGATGTGGGGCACGATGCAGGGAGCGAGACACTGGGGTAGCGGGTAACGCCATTTGCCATCCATTTGGCACAGACTCGAGCTGTGCCCTTCGAGCTTCATATGCTCCTTGCAGCGGAAGATTACGCTTGCTCCCATTCCAGTCCCTACTGACAGAAATTCCATTTTGTACTGTTAGTCTTTATTCGTTCTCTTTTTTTACCTAACTCGTTTCGTCCTGATCACAAGTCACAATTAGCTAATATTTAAGTCTTCCCGTTTCATAGTTTCTTTCGGGTATTCATAGTAGAATTTGCAAGCTTTTAGTGGAATGTTAAGTTTTCATGGCAGTTCTCGAAGTTTCTTTAGAGCCATGAAGTTGTTCGTCGGAAGTATTGCTTATACAATGCAATTGCAACAATAAAATAATCTAGCAACTGACGTTTACTATCGATAAATTTATTGTTGTTCAAGCGTTTATTCTAACCAAGCCCATACAAAGATTCCGACGTTACAGAAATTGATGAATACCTTTACTTACCGTTTTCAATGTTGTCGATCCATCCATTGTAAAGAACACCAGGTGAGCCGCAATTAATCTCCCTGCAACTAGGCGCCAGTCCGGTCCACTTGCCGTCGGCGCTGCAGCGCCTCGTAGCCGCGCCCACGATCGTATATCCAGTCTTGCACTCGTATGACACTACGGAGTTGTAGGCGATAGACGTGAAAATAGCTTTGCCATTAACTGGGTTGTCGGGTGGCTCGCACTCTACCGATGTCACCTGCAACACGAGACAAGACGCGTTCACGATGCGCGCAATGATTAGACGCGACAACGTATACTCTCTCTTGCTCTCCTGAGTATGCCATTTCGCTATCGTATTATTCGAGATCGGAAAACGGTCGACGAGGAACGGCTGCGAGATGAAAAAAATACATTCACAGAACCGATAGATACTAACCTCGACACATTTTGGAAGTTCTACTGGTAGCCACGTGCCGTCAGCGACGCAAATTTTCTCAGATTTGCCAACCAACTCGTAGCCGTCAGCACAGTGATATGAGACGTGACAATCGTACTTGTAACATTCGCCTTGAAAAAGAAAAAGAAATAGAGAAGGTATATAGATTCAGAAAATTGATCGGAAAAGTCTTCATCTCTCTCTCTCTCTCGCTCTATCTCTAGCATCGCTTGCTTCTTAGGAAATGAGCTTACAGCAAACTCGACTGTGCGAGCTATCGTAGCAAATCCAATATTGGTTTTCAATAACAGTTTCGCGAGAAACATGCCGCACGCAAAGTTTGATTGAGTTAAGTGAAACGAATGAGAGGATTGCATTTTGAATCATTCAAACTTGCTTGTGCTCGAATACGATCAGCCTACTACTACTACTGCTACTAATACTACTCGAGCGAAATGAACTTTCTGCAGATCCGACTGCGTACCTACAAAATTTTGTTTGACTATATTTTTCTGAGAATTCAATAACCGTCGAATGAAGTGGGGTAGTTGCTTGAACTATTGTTTATCGAGTGCATGCAGGTATACTTTCTAAAAGTTTGAAAAATGCAAAGAAATATTGACAACCCTCTGGACGACATATTGGATTTTATACCGTACATTGACATAAGGAACAAGTCATGCCAAGAATAATCACATGACTGACGAAGCAACAGTACCGTAAGACGTACCAGCGTGCCAACCATTGGCGATGTCAGCCGGCGGACCGCAGCTTCTAGCCTCGCAAGTGATGTCAGGCCCGTACCATCCAGCTTGACCCTCGGTCATGAGGCATTTGGCTTTGGGCGATCCTTTGGTTTCATAGCCGTGATTACAGAAGTACTGCACTACACTATCCAAATCGAACGTCGTCTGCTCGGGCTGTGCATTATGCCTCGCATTGGGATACTTATTCGGCACTGAGCAAAACGACGACGAGTCTTTCTTGCAGTTCGGCGTGACGCCGGTCCATCTGCCGTCAGCCCTGCACGTTCTCAATGACAAACCGACGATGTAGTAGCCGGGGTCGCAAGTGTAGTTAGCCTTGTCGCCGAAGAATCTACCGCTGAGCTGCATAACTCCGTGCTCGATCTGCATGAGCTCAGGACATTCGCGCTCGGGCTTGATGCAGGACATGCCGCAAAATCCGTCGCATCGGCATTTCTTCTTCTTGCTCTTGCAATCCTCGTCGGTCGAGCACTTTCTCAAGCACTTCTGGCCGAGGATCTCCGCTTGTTCCTCGTCTCGCGGACACTGAGCCGAAGGTGAGTTGCGCGGATTTTTGTAAATACGACCCTCGTCGTCGATCTCCGGTTTGGCTGGATAGTTGCTGTCTTCGTCATCCCACTCATCGTCGTCGTCGTCGTCGCTGTCGTCGTCGATGGCTTGCTGCTGGAGCTTGGACTCGGAGCCGACGACGGCCAGTGCGCCGAGCACGAGCAAAACGAGATACAGCCTCGGCCTCATCTTGGCGGCTGCGAGCTGCTGCTGCTGCTGCTGCTGCTGCTGCTGCTGCTGCTGCTGGCTGCGCACGGGCTCATTCGGCCCGGTACTTTTGCGCGTACTGCGATGCTGCCTGCTACTGCCGAGGCAGCCACCCTCCGCGCCAGAGTCGGTCCAGCGCACCACCGCCGAGGCGCGCGCAGCCCCACTCGCGCATCTCGTTCAATACCCTCTACCACGCGCGCGCAGCATCCGTCAGATGGCCGCGACCGCTTCCCACCACCCATCTCCCACCCTCCAACCTCCTCTGTGCGCTTAACCCCTCATGTCGTTGCCCCCAACCCCCAACGTCAAGCAGCCTCTGACGCTACAACGCAAGCCTCCTTCTTGTGTTGCGCTGCTTTCTGTTCTTGTAACTCCTCCGTTGGTCAGGACTTTGCGTGAATCTCGAACTACTATGCTAGACGAGCTTTATTTGCCATGCTTGAGGTGAGAGAGACGGACGGACGGACAGATCAGAGAGAGTTTTCCGGCTTCGCTGCGGGAAAATCAATAAGTGACCGAGGCGCACAGTTTGCGTTACGGAGAGATATCTCGGAGAGCGGGAGCGTGCACTTGGCGGCGACGACGTCTCGCGCAATGTAGATTGATGGCTGAGAAACAATGTGCACTCGTAAGGCAAACTATTCGCAAAGCATTCTCGTGGACTGATGCCTCGAGAGCGCGAGTTCCGAGCAAGGGTTAACTCCAACTGCGAGACGGAATGACAATACCAAGTTTTGGATTATCGTATAGTGCGTGCTGGCAAGTCATTACAATTATACGACGAATTACGCAGCTGAAGTGACGTAGCGCGCGAATGAAAAACCGAGGACATAAGTTTTAGCGGAGCAACAATCGGACGTCGAGTACAAAGAGACTCGTGACAAATGCAAGCGCGAGAGCAGCTCAATCGGCTACAAATTATAAGAAAGATTAATAGGCGCGAGAAACGCGTGTCACGAGCAGGAGATTAAGGGCCGCGAGAGAGTGCGAGGCTCTCTTTTTCAATTTTGTGCCAAGATTTGCATGATAATGCTTGTGTACGCCGCTGCGGCCGATGTAACACGCATATCGCTTCACAGACGCACTCTTTTGTCTGCGTTCGACAATGGGATATTTTTGAGTGATAAAAAAGTGATATATATAACTCTGTGTGTGTGTGTGTGTGTGTGTGTGTGTGTGTGTGTGTACGCTTTGAAATGTTATTAAGCGCCTATGGCTATTGTATTATTTGCTTACGCATGTGCATATAATACTCTCATTCATTTAGCGTTCGTGTCGTACTGCGAACATTCAACTTGATCATTGATAATCGGTACAATTCATTCTATCAATATATTACGGGGCTATACAACTGTTGGATTACTTATGTGCTTTGAATATCCTAAAGCCGATTAGTACTGAAATCATGATGTTGCGTGAATAAATTTTGGTTCCAACTTATCGCTAAATTTCTGTTGTAACGAGAGAATATAAGATAAGATAATTTATGGAAATCTGTTCAAAATTACTTTGTAAAACAATTATACAGCAGTTGTTGTAGAAGATAAGGTAACGATCACTGTGCAATCTCCATCGAATCGCCACACAAGTCTGGCGGAGACTCGACATAAATTAGGGAGTACAAAGTAAGAGCATGAATGATCGGACCGGTTTCAATTAGGAGCGGTGAAATTGGGGCAGGACGAGTTTCAGTAATCCCAAGTAAAGCCCGGGAAAAATTAGTTGTCTCGATGGTGCGTAGGTATAGCGGCGCTCCCCTATCGATTCTCATCAGGTTAGACAGTGAGTCGTCGACGAGATATCTGGGCGTCGATATGCAAGACGTCGCGATGACGGCAGCGGCGGCGGCAGCGACGGCGTCGGCGAAGGCCCATTGTTGGCGTAACGATCGTAATCAATCGGCACTCGCCGAGAAAGAGAAAGAGAACGGGAGAGAAAGAAATCTTGAATGTCTTCATTTGTCTTATTCAAATGAGACGGCCTTCGGATTCCAGTGGCGCGAGAGCGAAAAAGTTATAATCGAGATCGAGAAGCCCGAGAAGAGAGGAGGAGGAGGATAAGATGACTTCTGGCACGCGCGAGCAAGCGCCTGGTCTAGAACTGTCTCTCGCACACGCCTACTTGAATCCACTCACGAGTTTGCAATCGCAGCCGAACGAACTCTTTCCGTTCCACTTGCTCGTTCGCTGGCGTGCGTTAATTAAAAGCCGACGCTTCTCGAGCAGAAGCCGTCGTTACCTCTTTGGTGCTTCGTGTTCGCGACGGACGGATATGCACGAGGAGCAGAGCGCCGCCTGCATCCAATTCAGAAGGGCCAATTGAATTTACAGTTCCATCCATTACGGGTGTCCGGAAAGGATTATCGTCGATGGGGCACGCTGCGGCGCGTGCTGCATCTGCATCGCTGGCGCGTGGGTGTGCGCTCCCAGGCTACTTTGCATGCCTGGAAAACTTATTCGAGGATCGCGCGTCCTTTCATTTTTCTTTTTTTCTCGTTTCTTCAATATTGCCTAGAGCGATAAATTGCCGACTTTAGACGTTCGACTCAACATCCAGCGCTTTATTCCCGTCCCCAGCCGAGTGGTTTGGTCGCTTTTGCCCAAATGCATATCGATTATGGATTCTCCAAACACAAATACACACGTGAACTCCGCGCAAAAAGGATTCCATTAATGCTTGTGAAAGCTCCTAACCCGCGCGGCAAGTTCAACAAATAATATGGCCGTAGCGAAGCTTCCCCGGCGATATTTCGGAAACTGGCGCGCGCAAGTCTCCGTGTGCGTGCTGCGTTTCGGTGAAAGTTTTCGCTTTGACGCGAAAATTGCCGGTTTCTGCTCGGGGTTTTGACGTGCGCCCAAGTAAAATTAGAGCGAAGCCGAGGTAATGACGTTCATTTTGGCCCGAAGAATCTGTTTACCCGAGCGAGCAGTGAAAGTTGAAGGAAAAAAAAAAGACAAATAAATCCGTACGGTCGTCAACGTTCTTCGTCGTCAGCACGAAGAAAAGTGAGGCTAGAGCCCGTGAAAAGTTTTTCAGGTATTCGTCGAGACGCACACGTGCTGCCGCCTGTGCGACTAATAAATTGAGAATGCGCACGAGCGTGTGCAGGCGCACGTTTTAATTTCGGGATGTGTGTGTGTGTGTGTATGTGTGTGTGTGTGTGTGTGTATTGGTAATACGCTGCGCATCGTCGCATAAATTAAGAACTACTAGGGCGAGGTATCCCACGCGGAAATCGAAAAGAGAATTAAGGCGGAAAGTCACGCGAAGGCGCGATGCGCAGCACGCGACATCCGCTTGCGAGGGGGCACGTGCGCGCGAAAAGAAAAATAAAAACGAAAGTGTGGGCAAGCGAGTGTCGGGAAAATACTCCTTCCGCTTCCGCGATGGCATCCACTTGGAATTATCAATTGGAAATTGCTTCCTATCCCTCCTATCGGACTCTCTTTTGTGCGGCAATTCCTGATTGATTTAAGGGCACGAGCACTTACGTTTTTTCGTTCGCTTTTTCAATCGTAAAACCTTTTAGTCGCGCTTAACCTTATCTTATCCAGGCGGGCGTGCCGCGAGCTTGTGAAACAGCTGGATTTTGTCGCGAGCCGGCAATTATAAGTGTCGGCGTACATAAAAATTATTCTCCGGTTATCGCTGCCCCGAAAACGACCGCAGCTTTTTAAAAGGTGGATGCATATTTTTTTATGGTGATTGTTCGATGCCACTCGAAGATTCGAAAAATATTTGCATTAAAGGAGCGTCGCACTCTTATGTTCCTCTAATAACAGTATCGTAACTGTTTATCGCGCAATTTTATAGTTATTCATTCCGGAATATTCATTCGGCAAGATTATTTCCAACATAAATCAGTCGTGGTTATTTAGCATGTTTCAGCACTGACGCCATTATTCGAAGACGATTCGTCAGAACAACACGTGGGTATAATAAATTAGGAAATAATGGACTGCAGCGTACGCTCAAAACTGTACTTGAGTTTGACCCGTAAGCGAGCTTCATCGTCCACCCACCCGTCGGCAATTTTTGAGTTTTCGCGCAGGCCACGGACAAAAGCATCGTTAAGTGCATGCTCGCGCGCCCGATCGCGCCGAGCGAAGAGGTGAAATCTTGTACGCCCTCGCGCGCCGCTCTATCGCGCCCGCCGCGGCACCTGTGCACAACCCAAATTACCTTCTCGTTAAATATCCGCCCGGGCCCTTTTATTCCGCTCTCGCGGCTCGCACGCCCCTCTCGCGGGAGAGCATTATGGGCGCCTGATTATCTCGGAACAAGAACGGAGCAAAAGAGCGCGCGTCTATAAACGAAAACAGAGAGCAACTAAAAGCCTTGCCGTGTTCGCCGCTCGCCGCGTATCCATCACAATCTCTTTCCAGGCGTGAGAAATGGCGCCCAAACTATTTTTTTCCGCTTGCTCTGTCCGCTTCGTTTTTTGCTCGGCAACCACCGGCTGACGAGAGGATGTCAGTCCGTTCTCGGCCTTGCGCGATTAATGCAAAAACGAGAGGCGCACTAAAGCCAAAGTACACCCTGAGTCGAATGGATATTGCGCACATCCTGCATGCCTCGCAGTTGTGCCATCCGACTGCCGAGTGCAAGACTTTTTGACACGCGCGTTCTGCTGCGAACGCTTTTCCTTATACCGCTGATTTCAAACACGGTGATCAGCCGCCGCCTTTTCGTCGGTAATTTAATAGCCGGCATTGTTTGCAGGTGCGCCAGTAAAAACTGGCGCGTATCATTCAGCTTTCACGAGAGAGCAAGAAAATAATGAAGCCGTCGTGAGCAGCAGCAGCAGCAGCAGCACGCAAACAGTGCCAAACGAGAGGCGCCAAACGATCATCAAATATTTATGAATCCGCGCGCTCGCACGAGGGCGACTTAACAGTCCCGCGTCATGCGAAGCTTTTAGCTTACACGTCAGCCGAAGATAAAGTCTCGAAAGAACGTGCAAGCGGCCTGGAGAGTTGTAACGACGAGTTTCGCACTTTCGTTTTAATCACCGCGCGCTGCCAAGTCTTAAAACGATCCTAAATATTTAGCGCCAGCTCTTTCCACCACTTTTTTTTCACG